CTTGTCGAGTCGCCAGGGGGGATGGGGGGGACCTTGGCCAATCAGCATGGGGACACACCCACACACATGACACTACACCCTGGCCAATCAGCACATGCGGAACACACCCACACAACCAGCCAATCAGCATAGGCAGGGGGTGCCTGGCCAGTCAATATGGGGGTACCTGACCAATCAGCATGTCTGGGGGTCGGGGGCGGAAATGGACAGACGCCTGGCCAATCAGCACACAGGGGGAATAAGGGGTGTGCCCATCTGGCCAATCAGCATGCAGCTGGGGGATTAGCCACCCACCTGGCCAATCAACAGAGGAAAGGGTCTCTGGGCCAATCAGCACTGAGAGGGCCGTTTCTACTTGGCCAATCAGCATCCATGTGCTGCTGGCCACCTGGCCAATCAGTGCAAGGAAATCCCCCCTCTCTCTCTGCCTGGCCAATCAGCATGCATGGAATTGCAGCCAGCTGGCCAATCAGTACACAGAGAATCCTGCCTGCCCGGCCAATCAGCAGCCATGGGCTCCTGCACCTCTGGCCAATCAGCACATGCCGTTTCCTAGGCACCTGGCCAATCAGCACAAGCAAGTTGCCTGCCTGCCTGGCCAATCAGCAACCAGGGGTTCCGGCACATCTGACCAATGAGCATGCAACTCTCTTGCCTGATTGGCCAATTAGAACACGCGTATTGCCAACCTGCCCGGCCAATCAGCAGCCATTGTCCTTCGGACCTCTGGCCAATCAGCACCCATGGGTTCCTGCACACCTGGCCAATCAGCGCTAGGAACCGCCCCCTGTCTGACCAGCCAATGAGCAAATGTGCTACGCTGAATGTCTGACCAATCAGCACCTGCGAGCTCCTGTACATTGGGCCAACCAACACGTAACAATTCTCCTGCCCGGCCAATCAGCACACATGATCCCTCCCAGCCTCTGGCCAATCAGTGCGCAGGATTCCTCTGGCCAATCAGCGCACATGATCCCCCTGGAATTCTGGCCAATCAGCGCACGTGATTCCTCTGGCCAATCAGCACATGTGATCTCTCCTGGCCTCTGGCCAATCAGTGCGCAGGATTCCTCTGGCCAATCAGCGCACGTGATCCCCTGGATCTCTGGCCAATCAGCGCACGTGATTCCTCCAGACTTGAGACCAATCAGCACACGCTATCCCCTAGAACTCTGGCCAATCAGTGCACATGACCCCCAGACCTCTGGCCAATCAGCACACGTGATTCCTCCAGACCTCTGGCCAATCAGCACACGCTATCCCCTAGAACTCTGGCCAATCAGTGCACGCGATCCCCTGAAACTCTGGCCAATCAGCGCATGCGATCCCTCCTGGCCTCTGGCCAACCAGCACACGTGATCCCTCCTGGCCTCTGGCCAACCAGCACACG